ATCCCCCATTGTTCAGTCCCATTTTCTGGCAGCCAGAAGTTTAGAGACACCCGAGGCATGGGGTTGTGCTCCAACCATCTTGATGGACCTATCATCCATTAAATGTATCTAATTGATATCCTCGGCCTTCACAAAATCTCCTGGCTAGGAGTTCCACAAGTTAATTGTGTGTTCATTTCTTTTTTTCTTCTCCACATACTGAATGTTTACTGTTTTCCTCTAAAATAATTTAACATTAAATTAACATTTTAAAAATAAATAACATTTGTTTTTGTGCATGCAGATTGATTTAAGTATCAACATTTACATATGTTTTATTTAGTTGTAAATATTTTTTAAAAAGGCAGTGTCTGCAGTTTTATATGTAAAATTATATATTATGAATTTTACCTGTGTCTGGACTGAGCTTGAATTTTTCTGCTCCAATGCCATGCAGCGTATAAGTAATTTCTGCATTGGAACGAATATCTGCGTCTGTAGCAGAGACCTGCATGATCAGCTTGCCAGGAAGGGCATCCTCTGGAACAGTATCAGTGTATAAAGCCTAAAAGGTTTTAAAGTAACATTGAAAGATTAAAATGTGTTAGAGAAGCAATGCTTAATGGAGAAGGGAAAAGAGGACAAGGACAGATGAAATTATCTGCTTGAGTTTAGAGGATTCTGGAACATGTGAAGGTTGAAACATCTGAAAATAATAAAGATGTGATTTTCTAATTAATTGCCTCACCATTAATAAATTATTCAGTGAAGTAATTATTTATTACTGACATTCACAAACTCGAGGATTCTGAGTGCCAAGGCACAGCCAAGAATTCCAAACACCTGAACATCTGATTAATTACTTCCTGATATCCAAATCTGTTGGTGTTGTGAATTTCATTCAACTTCCTATCTTGAGCTACTGATAGGTCATATTACCCAGGTCTGGTCTGACCTACAAAGAACTGATTCACCCCTTTTATAAAACAGCATAAGACGTATAGGTCTCCAGTTAGAAACAAAAACACAACACAAAAAGGCTTTAAAGACATAGGTGAGATCTCATCGGTGAGATAGCAGAAGTACATTTTTTTTTTAATCAGAGAATCAAAAGTGGCAAAGGATGGCTTTGTCAGCAGGCTTGAGGACATATATGGATTACAGAATTCTAGGACTCTGACAGTGCAATTTCCCTGGCTGTACAACCCTTCCACTCCTATCAAGAACAGCTCGGGCACCACTGAGCACAGCACTTTTTTAACTTCACCTCTATTAGAATGTGTACAGCAGTATCATTCTGCCAAGTGCAGGTACCTGGACTTCTTTGGAGCCACACTTCCTATGGAAATCAGTTAGTATGCACTGCCATGGCAGCAGCATAAAGCATGCTCTCTCTCCTTGCTTTATCTTTGCAATGCTTGCATTAACATGGGAATTTAAGAACTGAAATTCAATTCATAGTCTTCCAATCCTCTGCATAGTGGCACACTGAGTTATGAGTAGGTCGCTGGGTCAGCCCTATGAGTTTTTGAATTATAGTGAAATTTACCCAAGAGACTACCCTTATTCGGCAACCTCTTATCTTAGTAGCCCAAAATACATTTCTTCTCCACATTTATTGGAAAGTCACTTCCATAAAGCAACCAATTTTTGTCAGTCTCTTGAGTGGTCACCTAAGATAAAGAAGATTTTACAATGAAAATGTACATACACTGAACATGGCTGCCCATGTAAAATTTAAGCCTACCTTTTCACAAACAGGACTGTTGTCATTAGCATCTAGAACTTTAACCTCAACCACGGCTTTTGTTGCAAAGGTCCCATCAGTAGCTGTAATATTTAGAAGGTAATTGTCCTTTTCTTCCCTGTCCAGAGGTTTTCTGACATAGACTTTCCATTCATTCTGCATGTTTTCAATTGCAAACTGTCCGAAGGGATCACCTCCTAAACAGTCAAAAATATGTCATTCAAGCAAAAAGAGATAATGCTACTATTTAGGAGAAAAGAAAAATCTAAAAAACCCCTAACAATCACACCTCATGGCTTTCTATATAAAAAAAAAATCTTGATTTTTCAGGGGGGGTAAAAGTAGCATTTTAACTCGGGTCTTATATAAATACACATAAAAAGAATTTAAGTGCATTCAGTATTTGCTATTAATGTTGCCATGGTGATTAATGTAGCATTACAGAGGACGACATATTTAAACAGTTACACTAAACAGAAAAATATTTTAAAAAGCTACTGAAGATTAATTTAAACTATGTTCCATCTATTATCTTATGGATTTTTTTTGCTTTGTTTTTCATTGCATTATTTATTTTAGTCTAACTATCTCCTCCTGTAGATATAAATATCACAAAGACCAAATGAATTCTAATTAAACCATTTTTAAACAAGGTAAGTAAAAGAAAAATGATGCATCTTGATGGCTTCTGAAATATTTTAAAAATTCAAAAAAATGGCTTGTCACAGATGACCCATTTCTAATATTCTGTAATCTTTTTAAAGCGTAAGAGTTACCTCACTTCATTCTAATTTTATAAATCAAGTTAATATTAAACATTTTAAAATGTTTACCTGTAACATAATAGGTGACTTGTCTGTTAGATTCTTCTGTATCAGCATCAGTGGTACTTAAGATAGCAACCACACCACCAGGTGGATCATCTTCACTAACTGTCCCTTTGTATATCTCCGCAGTAAAGCGTGGAGGATTGTCATTCACATCTGTAACGGTAACTTCAACCACTGTCATAGAAGACCACTGAATTTTTTCACCACGATCAGATGCAACCACTGTAATTTTGTACTTATCCCGTTTCTCATGGTCAAGCGCTTTGAGGGTGGTAATCCAACCTGTTTCCATGTTTATGGCAAAAGACTCTGTGATTTCCGGTTCTTGTGATGGATCTAAACTATATGTAACCTGCCCATTGAGTCCTGAATCCAAGTCAGTTGCTTTCACCTGGATGACTCTCGTTCCACCTGGCATGTTTTCCACAATGAATGCTTCATATGGACTGGACTCCAAAATTGGTTTATTGTCATTTGCATCTTTTATCTGAATGCTTATATCTACCGAGGAAACAACATTATAACTGTCATTCGTATAATGTGCTAGCACTGCAAACTGATACCACTTAGTTGTCTCATGATCAAGACTCTTCTCAAGTTTCAATCTTCCATTGTGCCGGTCAATAACAAAGCATTCATCCCTATTGCTTTCAGGAGTGTTCCCTTTAACTAGAGTGTATACTAATGTTTGATTATGCTCTGCATGTATAACATCAATCTCAGCTCCAATAGGAATGTCCTCGGAAACAGTATAAGAATAAAATGGCTCTGCAAATTTGGGAAGAGTCACTTCTGGTGGGAGTATTCTAATATAGATAGGAACCACTGATTGTTTTTGGGGGGATCCACCGTCCCGGGCTTTAACAAAGAAAGTTAGAAACTCATTTTCTAAACCAATTAAGCTTTCTTTTGTAGTAATTACACCAGACAAAGGATCAATTTCCAAATTCTCGTTGACACTTTCAGACTCTGCTTCAATGGCATATGTAATGTCTGCATTTGTACCCTCATCAGCATCAGATGCCAAAACTTTAGTGATAAATGTTCCTCTTGGAACATTAGATCCAATATTCACTTCATACTCTGTTGCTCGGAATTGAGGGGCATTATCATTATCATCTGTAAGTATCACATTAACATTGCAAAAAGCAACTTTTCCTCCAGCATCCTTGGCCATTAAACTAATAGAAGTTACTTTTTCTGTTTGTGTTTCACGGTCAAGCTTTTCAGAGGTAAATATTTGACCTCTCTCATTAGTATAAAATCTATCTTTGGCAAAGTCATTTACAATATGATAACTGATTTGGCCATAAGCCCCAGAATCTTCATCTGTCACTTTAACTTCAGTCACCAAGGTATGCAATGGAGCATTTTCAGCTAGTTCCACTTCGTACTCATTCTGACTGAAAACAGGGCTATGCAAATTGGCTCCAGTAACAGTTATCTGTACCTGAGCTGAACTTCTAAAGACCCCATCAGACACAGACACATTAAGATTGTAAAGATGCTTCAGGGTCTGTTTGCGTGGGTTTGAGATGGAGATGATGCCAGTTTTGCTATTAATTACAAAATTCATGTGATCATTGCCTGTCAGAATTGAATATTCCAGTTTGTTTACATCTGAACTGTCTGCATCTGAGGCTTTTACACAGGTTACAAAATGTCCATGGGGAGCCAGTTCACTAATTTTAGCCTCATAAAGCAGTTGGTTAAATAACGGTGGGTTATCATTGAGGTCAGTTATATTGACAGTTACAATAATGTCACTGCTCAATGGGGGCATTCCACCATCTACTGCCCTTACTAGTAATTTGTGTTGCTGGATATGTTCATAATCCAAAATTCTTGCTGTCAGAATGAGCCCACTGCTGCTATCTATGTGGAAATACTCGTGACTCTTGCTATTATTCTCAACCAAGTGATAGAAAATCCTTCTGTTTGTTCCAGAATCAGCATCTGTAGCACTAACTTGTACAACAGATGTTCCAATTACAGATGCCTCAGAAAGGATTGCAGTATAAGATAGCTTTGTAAATAGAGGATGATTATCATTTATATCTTCCACTATTATATCTACAAACACCTCAGCGTGAGCCCCAGTTAGAGAGTCAGTTGCTCGTATGCTCAGTTTATAGGCGGGATGGGACTCAAAATCTAGAGTGGCAACAACAATTATAACTCCAGTATTGAAGTTGATAGTAAACTGATTGAAAGGATCTCCATCTGTGATACTATAAAACACCTTAAGTCCTTCTGGGCTGTTTGCTTGTACATGGACAACAGGGCTATGCAACTGGATGTTTTCAGGTATCTCAGCGCTATAGAAAGGCTTTTCAAAAACTGGCATGGCTTTATTCATAACAGTGATTGGGACTGTAACTTCAGCAGAAAAACTTGGTTCTCCTCCATCTTTTGCCACCACTGTGACAAGATATTCCTTATTTAGTGTGTCTGGTTCAAACTGTCTCTTGAGTGTGATTTCGCCAGTGGGCCCAATATGGAAGTGTTCATGATGGTCTTTAAGGTAATAGCGTACCTCTCCATTACTCCCTATATCTTTATCTACTGCTGTAACACGTCGAATAATGTGGCCCACTTCAGTGTCTACTTTAACAGCAGCATAATATGGAAGATTGACAAAAACTGGACCGTTATCATTTACGTCTTCTATAGTGACCTTCACAACAACATGTGCAACTACTGATGGTTTATGCTCCTCTGTCACTTCTACCACTATATCAAAAGATTCTTGTTGTTCTCGATCAAATGGTATTCCTGTGGTTGAAAGTACTCCTGAAGTGTAGCTGATTTTAAATCTACTGTCTGGATTTAGAATATGATAAAACAAAGGCTCATTTATTTGATTCCCTACAGCAGTAATGACAGCTATTGTTTTCGCCTCAGTGGAATTCTCTCGCACTACTGCAGAGTAGGAACTCTGTGTGAACTTGAGTTGACTTGCTTTGCTTTCCTTCACATTAATTTTTACAGATGTAGTGCTTGCAAATCTCCCATCAGATGCTCTGACTGTTAATTCATATCTGCTTCTTAACTGACTTGTATTTTGTACAGTTATAGTTCCAGTCTTGGGATCTATTGAAAATTTGTCTCCAATGTTACCTTCAGTGACAGAATAAATTAGTTGTGAAAAAGCTCTTGAATCAGCATCTGTAGCATTTACGGTGATGACTGTCACTCTTTTATATGTAGGCACCAAAAGAGATGCCTCATACAAATCTTTTGAAAACACAGGAGGACAATCATTGATATCAATTACATAAATAGTAACATTAGCTGCATATTCTGCACATAAACGTGGTGTCCCCATATCATGTACTTGTACTGAAAACTGGAAAATGTTTGTCTCTTCGTAGTCCAAACTCATTATGGTACGAATGGCACCAGTGCTAGAATCAATGGCAAAATACTTGTGTACAGATGGTTCAACAATTTGATAAACCAGCAAAGCATTTGATTCTTTATCAGCATCTGTAGCTCGAATTACTAATGGGACATTCTTGTCAGTTAGAACTACACTGTTAATTGAAGCTGATTCACTGATGAGTCCTGTGTATTCTGCCTGCATAAAAACTGGTGAGTTGTCATTCTCATCCCGAATATGCACCAAAACAGTTGTATTAGTAGACAACCCAGCCATGTTGGTTCCTTGAACAGTTATCATGTAAAAAGACAAAGTTTCAAAATCAAGTGTCTTCTTAGAGGTGATGACACCTGAGTTTGGATTGATATCAAAGGCATCACCTACATTACCATCTTTTATCTGATAAACTACAGAAGACTGACTATACGCAGTAACCATTCCAACAAAACTACCAATGCTGGCACCTTCAGTGACTTCTGTAGAATATTCCTTCAGTGTGAATTTTGGTGAGGCATTATCAGAAATTGTGACAAAGATAAGCACTGAAGTTATTTCACTCATTGGAGGATTTCCTTTATCTGTAGCTTTCACCATCACATTGTACTCTCCTTGGTTACTACAATCTAGTTCTTTTGCAATGCTAATAGTGCCCAAGATGGGATCTATAGTAAAAGAATTTCCAATATTCCCTGCAGAGAGAAAAAAAAAAAAGTTAACAATGAAAGAGACAAAGATACATGTACAAAAGTTAAGAGTCTGTGCCCAACTGGCCATAAACTAAAAGAATGCGTACATGTTGAGAAGCAAGGGAGGTATCAATGTTTCTTAATTTTGTTCCAAAACAATTTCTAGTCATCTGGAATTTTCCTATAAAGAACTGTTAGTACTAACTTTTGTTTTACTCTAAGATACTTTGCCTTAACATAACTGGAATAGTTGTCCAGGCCTAAAATAAAATACAGAAATGTAGACTGTATTAAAATATGCCAAGTTTTCTATAACCTTAAAAAATTACTGGTGATGTTCCTTCTTTAAATCAATCTTCTTAATGAGCTCACGGTCAATCAAATCAAAGAAGCCATTAAACACAAAAAATATATTTAGGAACTCAGGTTAGTAGCATAACAGTTATATTTCAGGAATTAAAATTAATTGCCTCGTTTGTGGAAAAAAACAGTGCTTTTAAAGTGTCTCAAGTGCATCTCAATTAACTGTTAATTCAAATGTCCTTTAGAAGTAATGATTTAAATTAAAGATTCCTTAGTGAATTAGACACTATGGAATTCCTCAGTAATCGATGAACATCATTCAGAACAGCTATGAACATATGACATGCCAACTAATACACAACAGTGAATTGACTAAGCTATCTGAGGTTACTACAGGTGTCAAACAGGATATCTTACGTCACCCACGCTCTTTTTATTAGTAGTGAACTGGGTAATGAGAAAGACCACAGAACAATCAGAGGCATACAACAGAATTTCACACAGAAGTTAAAGGACCTTGATTTTGCAGATGACATCAACTTGCTATCCCATACCCACAGGATTTTACATGCAAACCAAAACAAATGATCTCCAAGGTTGAAAATCAGCACCAAGGAAACAAAAACCATGAGAATCAACACACAACAAGAAACACCAACAATGCTTTCTGTGACTGACAAAGAGGAGGTCTGATATTTCGCATATTTTGGAAGCATTTTAAGTACAACAGGTGAAACAGATGAAGAAATTAAAGCAAAATAGCAAGAGCTAGTAAAGCCTGTGCAACTCTTAAGCTGAGCTAAGAGAAACAGAAACCTTGCCTTCCAAACTAAATTTTGAATATTTAACACTATTGTAAAGTTGGCCTTACTATATGGCACTGAAACTTGGTCTTATTAAGACCTTACTATCTAAATTCCAAGTTTTCATAAACAGCTGCTTTAGACAAATCCTCAAAATCAGATGGCCAGGGGGAAAAAAAATTACAAATGAAAAACTCTGGAGGAGAATGAAACAGAAAGCGATAGGCCAGGAAATTATGGAACAAAAGGGAGATGGGTAGGACTTGCATGGATGAAAGACCCAAATAACATAAGACAGGCATTGGACTGCAACCTCTAGGAGAAGAGGTGATGAGGCAGACCAAAGAACACACAATAGAAGCAGAACATGGAAATACACAACAGAAGCAGAATTGAAAGCTATCCAAATGACATGGGAATAAACTAAGACTGCAACAGGAGACTGGCAAAGACGGAATGCAGTGATGAAGGCATGGAATAGAGAGGCAACAGAGAGAGAACTAGAGCAAACATTTCCCCCCCTAAATTGCTACTAATTAATGGGCTATACTCTGTGCTTTCTGAATTTTACCAGCTGCAATTTGATATATAACAGTTGAAAACAAGTAGTTATGAATAAGCCTTTTACAAGTAAAAGAAATTGTAATGGATTTTGCAGCCTGTAAGATTTCAAAAACATGTACTGAATTAGACTAGAATTTGTGGTTCCTCAAAAGTTTAATTACAGAGCAAATATAGCAAATATTACTAAAACCATGTTCTGAACAGGGAAATATTTTATTTAAAATGTTTGAATTATGCAGATGAGTGGGCAGTTGATATGTTGATATTTTCTTTTCTGTTAGCTAAGGCTCTATGCACAGTGGCGTTCTTAGAATATCCCATTACAAATCCCATCAGCCATTACAAGCATTTAAAGAATGTTCATTCCATATGCTTAGGACATCAACCATAATGCTTTAACTTCCCAGTAGTTGACAATTCTATAAAAAACGAAGCTAAGAAAGATAAAGTTTAACATTTACTCCCACAAAAATCTGGAGAGATGGGGGGGGGGAGGAGAGGGAAGGAAGGGATGAAAAAGAAAGAGAATGCTCAAACTCTTTTCTTGAAATACTTTGACATCATAAAATGGAATGCACTGTTGATCTAGGTAAGTCAAGAATAGAGTTTCATGAACACTTACATATTACCTTAGGAAATGTGTAATATTTATACAAATAATAGAAAACAACTGATACATTTAAAGGAATTTATCATGTTTACTCATTTTCCTCCTTAGAGCATCATAATCAAATTTATTAAAAAAATTATGAAAATAAAGGATGTATTATATTATAGTTGCAATGGTTTACATATTTGAATGAAATTTCAGCAATAGAAATCTTTTTTTTAATTATAATAATGAATCTGTACGGTTTAAAAATGCTTAAATGGTTGGGACAAATCATAAGATATAATTTTGCATTAATGATCACATAGTTTGTGTATTTGTTATACTTTTTAATAAAGTTTCAGATGCTTGATACTGACTTTTGTTTTATAACATTTTGTAAAGCTAGAAAATAATTTAACTCCATTTACAATGGTGGTTTTTTTTTATTGCTAACATAAATGCAGAGCATGTTCATTTTGCAGCATGTGTGGTCGGATAGTTCAGGTGCTTGGCAAGGGGATATGGAGCTATTCATATATAATTTACTGGTGTGACCAAAAGTCATTACCGACTGGTGGATGCTTGGTAGTCCAAATAAAATGAGTTAGTGATTTCAGTCTGGTTCCTGTGGTATTTATTCACTTCTTAAAGCTACTATCATTGCCACTTGTGGGCACCTTAGGAGAGACGCCAACAAGACAGGCATTGGAATGAAGAAGCATGAAAAGTGAACTGTCACAACCAATGATCTCTCCATGTAAGGGATGAGAAACACTGGTGAGTCAGGTATGGCATGCTGTCCATATTGTCACTACTTTGTGGATAAATGGAAGACCTCATGTTCTAATGCTAAGAAATCAAGTGTAATTAATTAACAGAATGGAAAAGTAATGTATTAAAGAGATACTGTGAGGTTAAAAATAAGTGGCCAAATCCTAGATTCCATTTACTTTTCACTAATTATAATATTTATGTTCTTTTAAGGGTAACTTTTTTTCAATTTTCTCCACTAGGAGAACAAAAACAGATGAATCAGTTTCACATTTATTTCTATTTGGTTCCTAGTCATTTTCACTTTGAGGTTCTCAAGCAGTAGCCAAATGAAATAATGTTTAGGATGTAATAATATGTCCACTTGAATTTATAGTTTTTTTAAAAACATTATAGAAACATTTATATTGGCCTTTGATTTTATAAAGGCTTATTTTTACATACTTACATTTTAAGCTAACTATGACCAAACAAAGTAAATTTTAAACTATATAGAAGACTTATGAGACTGTGGATATACCTGATTCAATAGAGTACACAATTTCTGCATTTTTCCCTTTGTCTTTGTCTAATGCTGTTACTTGGAGTACCGCTGACCCAACAGCTGCTGACTCATATACCCGTCCTTCATAGGGAGAGCTGGTGAACCATGGCGCGTGATCATTTGTGTCACTAACATTAATGACAATTCTAGCAAAGTTGCGTTTGACAGGAACATCTTGATCTCGTACCTAAAACAATGAACACATTATTAATCAGTAGCACCAAACTTTATTAATACAACTACTAATCCAACTTCTGAGAGAACTATTACGAATTTAGGCCTCGAACCTTACCATTTAAATAAATGGGACTACTCGAAGAGTGTAAAGTAAAACACATTTGTAAATTTCTCCAAGATCAGGACCTAAATGTATATCAAAAGCATACTAACTGTAATGTGAAAAAGGTAATCATGTTAGCTGTTGCAGAATAACAGGTATGCTTGTTTACCATCACTGTAAGTATATGTTGGTGGATGGCCTCATGATCCAATTTTTCAGATGTATAAAGAGAGCCCGTTCCAGGATCCAAACGAAATTTCTTGAGACTGATGGGATCAATGCTACTCTGCATTGTATAAATTAGTTTATTCTTCTCGTCCCTGTCGGTGGCACTGACTTGCAAAATTTCTGTCTCTGGCACCGTGTCCTCAGGTATAATGACTTCATATTTTGAGGTGGAAAACTGAGGCCTGTGGTCATTTGTGTCTATCACTTTGATGTATACCTAAAATGACACAATGGAAAAAATATTATGTTGATAAATATTGGTGAAAATACAGAAGAAAACAGGACACTCAGGAATCAGGAGAGAAAAAAATAAAAATAAAAAAGATGCACAGAATAAAGCCAGAAGTCCAGACAGTTAAAAATCTTTAAGAAGAGGTCTCTTAAATAGAAACCATTTGTGTATACTGTAAATGAAAAGAATGTTTACTTATTCTACAGTAACTGTGGTTCTTTGATATGTTATAGTCAGTGTGGATCGTGCTGTAGGTGTTCATGTGTCTTATGGGGAGAATCCCAGCAGGGAAACTGAGTCCAGATTCCACGCTCTTTGCACTGCCAGAGCAATGCAGTGCAATGCAATGGGGACAGAGTTGAGTACAGTATCTGGTTCAAGGTACCTCAAAACACTGTGCACAGAGTTAAATATCAGCAGTGCTGTGATTGTGTAAGCAAATATAGTAGCTCAGCCATTAACATTAGAAAAAATGGTTTCCTACCTTTTCGTAACTCTCATTCTTCGAGATGTGTTGCTCATGTCCATTTCATTCTAGGTGTGTGCGCATGCCTACATGCGTGGCCGTTGGAGTTTTTGCTTTAGCGGTATCCGTAGGGTTGGCTATGGCGCCCCCTTGAGTGTCGCGCTCATGCGTCAGTATTTCAGGCACAGCCAGCCCTATGCCCTCTCAGTTCCTTCTTGCTGGAAACTCCGACAGAAGGGTAGGAGGGCGGATAATGGAATGGAAATGAGCAACACATCTCAAAGAACAACAGTTACAAAAAATTTTTCTTCTTCGGGTGCTTGCTCATGTTGATTCCATTCTAGGTGACTTACAAGCAGGGTCCATGAAGGTGAGCTCGGAGTTCATGGTCATGCAGTTTTCAGCACTGCTCTGCCAAAGCCAGCGTCGTCTCAAGCTTGTTGGTTAAGTGCACAAGGAGATGCGAAGGTGTGGACAAATGACCAGGTAGCGGCCCTACAGATCTCCTGGATTGGAACCTGCACCAGGAAGGCCGCTGATGATGCCTGTACCCTAGTCAAGTGTGCCATCATGATTGCCAGCGGAAGCGCTTTTGCCTTCTCATAGCAGTATCGGGTGCAGGCAGTGATCCAGGACAAAATCCTTTGAGTAGACATCGGGTGACTCTTCATTCTGTCTGCCACCACAACAAACAATTGTGTCAACTTATGGAACGGCTTTGTCCTTGCTATATAGAAGGCCAGCGCCCTCCTGACATCCAGAGCATGCAGCCTGTGTTCCTCGTCTGACGTATGAGGCTTTGAAAAGAAGACAGTTAAGTATATGTCCTGGCCAGTATGAAACAGGGAAACTACCTTGTGCAGAAATACCAGATGCGGTCGCAGCTGGACCGTATCCTTGTAGAATACCATATAGTATGGTTCTGAAGTAAGCGCCCTGATCTCGGACACTCTGCAGGCTGACATTATCACAACCAGGAACAAAATCTTCCAGGAGAAAAGCAGGAGAGAGCAGGAAGCCAGAGGCTCGAAGGGAGGCCCCATGAGCCTCGACAGCATGAAGTTCAGGTCCCAGGGAGGGATGGGATCCCAGACATGTGGGTAGAGACGCTTCAGACCTTTCAAAAACTGTGCCGTCATGTCACGAGCGAAAACCGACCTGCCTTGGAATGGAGGGTGGAAAGCCAAAATAGTGGCCAGATGGACACTGATCAATGACAGGTACAAACCTTGGAGTTGAGGTGCAGAAAATAATCCAGGATCTCCTGCAGTGAGGCCTGCTCAGCCCGGATATGCCATTCTGAGTTCCAGCATGGGAACCTTTTCCACTTGGCCAGGAAAGTCGCTCTGGTGGAGGGTTTCCTGCTACCAAACAAGACCTACTGAACGCAGGCCAAGCATTCCCATTCATTCACATTTAGCTACGCAGCAATCACGCTATCAAGTGTAACGCCACCATGTTTAAGTGCAGAAGTGTGTCTTGGTTCTGGGACAGCAGATCTGGCCAGAGGGGCAGCTAGCGAAAGGTCCAGCAGCGTGCTGAACCAGTGCTGGTGAGGCCACACGGGGGCTATTAGGATAACGTTCGCCCTGTCCTGTCTGATCTTTATGAGGACTCTATGAATCAATGGCGCTGGTGGGAGGGCGTACATCAGAGGCCCCGACCACAGGATGAGAAAGGCATCTGACAGAGCCCCTGTCCCTCCCCTATGTCGAACAAAACACATGGCACTTCCTGTTCTGCCTGGACACGAACAAGTCCACCTAGGGAATCCCCCACCTCTGGAAGGTTGTACTAACTACCGCTGGATGGAGTGACCACTCGTGGTGAGAGGAGAAGGTCCTGCTTAGGTGATCTGCTAATACGTTCCTGGTCCCGGGCAGGTGCATGGCTACCAGATGAATAGCATGTCGCACACAAAAGCCCCCAAAGGCGGAGAGCTTCTTGGCAAAGGGCTGACAACCTGGTTACACCCTGCCCGTTGATGTAATACATCCTGGCAGTATTGTTCATCAGGACCTGCACTACCTTGTCCTTCAAATGGAGCAAGAAAGCCTGGCAAGCCAGGTGAACTACTCTGAGCTCCCTGACGTTGATACGGAGGGCCAGATCGTCCCTGCGTGCTGAGCTTGCCCAGGTCTGAAGAATTGGAGACCAAGGTCACTGACGGGGACAGGGCCACAAAGGGAGCTCCCTCCAACACTGACCCGGGGTCCAACCACCATTCCATGGACAACCGGATGTGATCCAGCACCCCGACACCAGCCATCCTTGCAGAGGCTGGAGATAGAGCCAGGCATGGCTGACTATGTATGTACATGCAGCTATGTGGCCAACAACCGCAGGCAGGTGTGAGCCGTGGTGAGCGGGTTGTTTTTCACATGGGATATCAGGTCTGACACGGCCTGAAAACGCGCCTCCAGAAGGATGGCTCTGGCCCACGTGGCGTCGAGAACTGCTCCAATGAACTCTACCCATTGCACAGGCTTTAAGGCGGATTTTTTGTCATTTATCTACAGGCTCAGGTTGCGGCAGGTGGAGAGCACCAGATCGAGGCTCCTCCGCACTTATTCTGGAGATCTGCCCTTGATGAGCCAATCGTCGAGATACGGGAAGACCTGGACCCCTTGACATCTCAGGTAAGCGGCCACTGGTGCCATACATTTTGTGAACGCCCTTGGGGCTGATGAGAGGCCAAAGAGAAGCGCCCACCATGAACGGAAGAAGCATCTGTGACCATGAAACATGGAAATAAGCGTTCTTCAAGTCGAGGGTGGCGTACCAGTTTCACAGATCCAGGGATGGAATGATGGAGGTCACGGAGACCATACGAATCTTCAATCTCATGAGAGACTTGTTGAGGTGTCACAGGTCTAGAATAGGCCTGAGGCCCCCTTTTGCTTTCGGGATCAGGAAGTAGCAAGAGTAGAACCCCTTTCCCTCCTTGTTCCAAAGGACCTCCTTCACTGCCCCCAGGTGAAGTAGGTTCTCAACCTCCTAAATGAGGTGTTGCTCATGAGAAGGGTCCCTGAAGAGGGACGGGGAAGAGAGGACGTAGGAGGGAGGGGCATCCGAGAATTGCAACGTATAGCCTCAAGATACTATTTCTAGCATCCAGCGGTCCGAGGTGACCCGCGAACCAGGCTGAATGGTAGGGATGGAGACGGTTGAGGAAAGAACCAAGTGGATCTGGGGGGATGATTGGGGTGTTGCTCTCGAGCGCACCCTCAAAATGAGCGCTTCTGGCCTCCTGGATGCTTTGCTGGCCTGGGCTGCGTGGGTGAGCAGGAGGAGGAAAAGCAGTGACAACCAAAGCTCCTGTCTCTATCCTTTCTCCTTGCACACCCCTGTCAAGGCTGCCAAGGCCTTGGTGATGGGGATGGCCAGAACTGCTCCCTTGCAGACTGTGGTGTATGCATGCCCGGTGAGCAAAGGGTGGACCGAGTGTCCTTCAACCCATGCAGCCTTGCCTCTGTCTGCTCTGCAAAGAGTCCAGCAAATGGGAGGTCTTGGTTTCTCCCAAGAAATGCAGACCGCAATCTAACGGTCTGAAGCTAGGAGCTTTGCCTCATGACTACCGCTGATGTGACCACCCTAGCTGCCAAGTCAGCCCGTCCTATGCCATTTGAAGAGAGCATCTTGCTGCCACGGTAACTCTCCTCCTTTTCAATCCTTTTGGAGGTGGGAGGGATGGATAATGGAGTTTGCTAGAGGGCCGTGGCAATTTTCAGGACCCCCTCATGCACTAGTAGTGCAACACAGGCAGGGGTAGAGGCTGAGAGCACATTGAACAAGGTGTCTGCCTGCTCGGCCATCTCCTCCACCTGTAGGCCCAAGTTCTCGGCCACCCGTCGAAGCAGGGCCTGGTGTTCTCTTCGTGCAGTGGGCTGGCCCTCGAGGGTCCCGCCACCGCCTCATCCAGGACATGATGACAATGATTTTACCACCTGGGGAGGCCCGGAGCATCATTGTTTTGGCATGGGCACTGGCTCCTCTACCCCGACCTCCGAGCACATTTCTCGCACTGAGCCTGGTGCCGTCAACTATTGCTCCAAGGTGGTGGCCGACGAGTGGTGCGAAAGGGGCATCGGCATCACAGGCATGCCCCATGCACTCCAATAGGGCCACTGGTCATGCTGCAAAGGCAGTGCTGTAGAAGTCGACACAGCTGCCAGTGCCCAATCACTCCGGTGATGCCTTGGCAAGGAGTTAAACTGCCCTTCCATGACAGAACAATGCCCTTCCGGTGACCACGGTGGAGCCGTCGATGCCTGCATTTGTTGGCTGACCGTCACCACTGGAGACTGGCACTTTGAATAGGAGGCCCGGTGCTGGGGTGACCAGTATCATGACAGAAATATGATCGGTGGGAGGCTGAATGATGCTGGTAATATGGAAACCAGCACCTCCCTCTAGGCAACCTGCATCGAGAGTGCGGAGACAGCGAACACGGTGCCAGTGATCTACGGTGAGCCCCTGAGGATCTGGGCTGTGAAGCTGGAGATCTGCAGCTCAGAGT